TATATATATACATATATATATATATACATATATATATATATACATATATATATATATACATATATATATATATACATATATATATATATACATATATATATATATATATATATATATATATATATATGCACGTAGAAACATCTCACTCATTACCATATGACACTCGCATGAGAGTTACGTCTCATGTACGAAAGGAGACAACTCGAAATAACATATTAGAAATATTGGTAAAGCTTAAACAGCAAGGGGTGGTGGCGCAGTTGGTTAGCGCGTAGGTCTCATAGCTTCTGAGTTATCCTGAGGTCGAGAGTTCGAGCCTCTCTCACCCCATAATTCTTTTTTAAATTTTCGTTGCTTGTCTTAAATAAATCGAGACCCTGCACGAATCTTAAAGGACTCGAAGAAAAAGAGAATAGCATATTGTTCGTTTTCCTTCTTTTCCAATCATCATAGACACTGCACGGATCTTGAAGTAAATAAACTAACCATATCCGGCCTCTCTCTCTCTCATCATCCAACCTCAACACTAATTTCAAAGAAGAAAACAAAAGGATAAATATATCCAGCATTTTTTTTTGTCCCAATACAATAATAGGAAAATTATAAATCTCAATTATTTAGCATCGACTATATTAGATATTTTGTATATTTAAAAAATTATATATTTAATCAATTATAAAATAATTAATTAATTTTATTATATTTATTTATTTTCTAAAAAAAATTGTTATCGTTAGTATTAATTATTTTATATCATCTTAAATAATTTTATTTCCTTACAAAACTGTTTATTTGAGATTGTTTGGTAAGAGAGGATAGGAAGGAAAAGTAGGTTGGTTTCTCCATCATCAAAGTTTCTGCACGAATCTCAAAGGAAAAAAATTCCCAGCCTCCCTCTTTTTTTTTCCGCCTTAACTGTCATCAATCCTCCGCACGAATCTCAAAGAGAGAGAGAGAGACAGAGACAGAGTGTGTGTGTGTATGTGGTTTGGTTTCTTCTTCCCCGTCATCAAGCCGTCGCACGACTGTGAAGGGAAGAAGACAAGCATATCCTGCCGCAGCAGCACACTCCTGCAAGAACTGAGGCGGTTGGAAGCGATGGATGGATCTTTAAAGAGCCTCTTCGGGTTTGCAGATATGGGCGCATGCTACGTAATGACAACAAGTTTATGACACCGGCATACGTACACCACACCACCCCCACCGGCTTCAATGCAAGCGGGTTTGCTGGCAGTCCTCTCACGTACCGCCGCCCCCCCCCTCTCTCGTCTCTCATCGCCACCATCCCTTAAGCCGCCTTCTGCGACACCAGTGTTCTGCGGTCATCCGAGTCAACTTGAAATGAGATCTTGTTAGATTCTAATCTCGAAGAAGGTAATGCTACATTGATTAGATGTCGTAGATGGGTTGGGAATAATAGCATGCACAAAATCCAAATGGCTTTTATTTTTCGCTTGTTGGGGGTCACCAACATCTACTTCTTCTTTCCCTTCGGTAGCTGCGTATCGGACAGACAGCGCGATGTGGTGACAGATTCGCTTTGCTCAACACAGACCTAATCATGGAGCGTAGCAGTTAATAAACATGTAGGTAGTAAGACGGTGGTTCCTTTAAGACCCTACACGATAGTGTGCTGTCAACTATGCTTGCGGTTTTCATGTTACTCTCTTTGCAGAGAAAGGAGGAGGAGTGAGTGATCTCTTTTTCCAGACCACGTCCTATCCTATACTCGCTTGAATCCTTCTACTCCCTTCCCCCAATCCCCCCCCACCCCACCTCTCTGTCTTCTTCCTCTTCTCCTTCTTCTTCGTCTTCCGTTAATCTGAGACAAAGCGCCCCCCTTGTCCCAAACTCCAAAATCCTGACTTGTCGCCGGCATTTCCTCTCTCCACTGCCGCTCGGCTGCTGCTGTTCTCCTCGCACCTCACTCCTTGTGGCGGGCGATCGACGATGCTGCCCTCCAAATCCAAGTAAGTACGCCGTGCTCCCCAGATCTCAGGTGGGCTCGTCTGCTCTCCCTGGAATTTGCCCCCAAAATTGACTTTTTTAGCCTAGATTTTGTCTTCGCACTTTGTGGTGTTAATTTGGTTGCGTTCGTCGAGGTGAATCCTTTGCGCTCTTTTCCTTGGTCCATAGCACCAATGCTGCGAGGATTTCAGTTCACCGTGGTTATTGGGCTTGATCTGGTCATAAAAGTTCCGATCTTTTCGGTAGATGAAGAAAAGGAAGGTTTCCTTCGCTTAGATCATGGTCAAATTTGGTGTGTACTCTGTTTCATTAACTGTGTAGCCTCGATCTGATCGCGAATTATGAGGCCAGGCTCTGCTGATTGCTACCACTCTCATCTTTTCTTGCTTTTCTGCCTGATCTGGGTTCGTTTTGTATGGCATTGCCGATCTTTGTGCTGGAACTGCCTAGTTTGGTTGTTTCGAAGATCTAAGTTGCATATATTGAACGCAGATCTGGTTTATTTGAAGCTTCTGTCAACAAAGGCACACCGGCTACTCCTAGAGCTGGTAAACTAGGAAGGGCTGGATCCGCCAAGGCAGATCCAGCTTCACCTTTCTTGCAGCAGTCATCCCGCCATTCGATTGATCGATCACCGAAATCGGTTGATTCGAGGCCGAAGACCACCACTCCTGATGTAAGGCCAATGAACCACCGCATATAATTCACCATGATGTCGTATATCATCACTATGATGAACAACTTGGTCCTTTGGCTTTTGAGTTTTGATTGCAGAAGCAACCACGCACAGCAAAGGGATCTGAGCTGCAGACACAGCTGAGTGCGGTTCAGGAGGATCTGAAGAAGGCAAAAGACCAATTGGCGTCTGTTGAGAAGGAGAAGAGCCAGATTCTTGAGGAGCTGAAGTCTGCTAAGAGATCTGCTGATGATGCGAACGACAAGCTGCAGGACGCTCTTGTTGCCCAGAGGATAGCAGAGGAAGCTGCAGAGATTGACAAGTTCCGGGCAGATGAATTGGAGCAAGCCGGTATTGAGGCTGCACAGAAGAGGGAAGAGGAACGGCAGAAGGAGCTTGATACTGTCCGAAACCAGCATGCTGTGGATGTTGCGGCGCTGGTCGCCACGACTCAGGATCTCCAGAGGGTGAAGCAAGAACTGGCAATGACGACCGAAGCAAAGAACAGTGCGTTGATTCATGCTGATGATGCAATGAAGATCGCTGAGATCAATGCAGACAAGGTGGAACTCTTGTCCAGGGAAGTTAGCCGCCTGAAAACCTTGCTTGATTCGACTCTGGAGTCTAAGAACAATGAAGCTTCAGAGCTAGTCGAGAAGGGAATGGATCTACAAGCTCAGTTAAACTTAGCTCAGGAGGACTTGAAGAAGACAAATGAACAATTGGTTTCTGTTGAAATCGAGAAGACCCACATTCTTGAGGAATTAAATGAGGTCAAGAGATTGGCTGATGAAGAAAATGAGAAACTCGAGGAGAGTCTTGCTGCTCGGAAGAGAGCGGAGGATGCTCTGGAAACTCACAAGATTCGTGCAAGTGAGTTGGAGCAGGACAGCATCAAGAGTGCTCAGAAAAGAGAAGAAGAGTGGCAGAAGAAGCTTGAAAGCATTGAAAACCACCATGCCTTGGACGTTGCCACATTGCTTTCGGCTACAGAGGAGCTCGAAAAGGTGAAACATGAACTTACATTGGCAATAGACGCAAAGAACACTGCCTTGAGCCAGGCTTGTGAGTCTACAAAGACTGCTGAAGCGAATGCAGTGAAGCTGGAGCTCCTCTCAGGTGAAATTACCCATCTTAAAGCATTGCTTGACTCCAAAATGGAGTTAGAATCTGAGGTCTTTGAATTGAAAAGTGAGCTTGAGAAAGCAAAAGCTGCTGAGAGCAGGTTGGTGGAGTTGGGAGCATTAATCGAGGGGCTTAGAATTGAGGTCACTGATGCAAAGAAGGCTGAATCTGATGCAAGTCATCTAATGGATGAGTGGAAAAAGAAGACCAAGCTGTTAGAAGTTCAACTGGAGGAAGCAAATGAGTCGAGAAAAACATCATCAGAGACTCTTGCTTCTGCTACGAAACAGCTAGAGGAGAGCAGTGCAGTCTTGCAGGACAAAGAGTGCGAAGTTGCTGCTCTTCGAGGTCAGGTGGAATCTTTGAAGCTTGATGTTGCTAGGCACAAAACAGAACTTGATGAATCAAGTCAGTACCTTGATATAGCACAACAGGAAGCAGCGGAATTGGGAAAGATGATTGTGGTTCTAAAATCTGAGCTTCAGATTGTGGAAGAGGCAAAAATTCATGCTCAGAGTAATGAGAAAATGGCTACTTTAAACATTCAGAGCTTGACAGAGGAGAAGAACAAATTGGAAAATGACCTTGATATCACTCAGTCCGAACTTGAGAAAGTTAAGAAGGCAATGGAAGGCTTGGCTTCAGCATTGCATGAAGTATCAACAGAAGCACGTGAAACACAAGAAAAATTCCTAATCAAGCAATCTGAACTGAAGAATTCTCATACTCAGATAGAGGAGTTGAAGGTGACTATCGAAAGAAATCAAGAAAATTATGAGGTAACGCTGGAAAAAGCAAAACATGAGATAGGTTGTCTTCAAGATACTGTTCAATGTTTTGAAAGGGAGCTTGAAAATTCGAGATCTGTGTGGGACTCAAAAGCGCTCGATTTCGTGAGTTCTATCAAGAGATCGGAGGAGGAAATTATCACCATGAAAACAGACATGGACAAGATAACTGACTCACTGAAAGAAGCAGAACTCAGAGTATCAGCTGCGAAAGAAGAGGAACTCCGGCTGTTGGATAAGCTTAAGCATTTGGAGTCCGAGGCAAATGCTGCCAACATTGTTGCAGAAGAAGCTAAGGCTGAGAGTTTGCTACTGAAGGAGATGCTATTGGACAAAGAGAATGAACTGCAAAATATAAGTCAGGAGAATGATGACCTCAGAATCCGAGAAACTGCAGCTCTGGAGAAGGTCAAAGAACTCTCTCATATGCTCTCTGAGGCCACAGCCAAGAAGCCCGAGGAAAATGGGGAAATATCAAGCAACTCAAAACAGTCTGATCAAACAATCTCAGTTGATCCCTTGGAGGAAAACACAGATGATCAGGATGGAGAAGAAAAACCAGAATCAGAAGTCCCATCAGAGAAGCCCGAGGAACACAGCATGGATAAAGGAGTATCGGAAGAAGAGAAGACGGACAACAGTGCTCAAGAGGAAGAAGCATTAGATGCAAGAGGTAAGACATGGGAAAATGGCAAGACAATGGACAAGGATTTGTCGACAGATAGGGAGCATGAGACCGAGTCGACATACGATGAGTTGGACTCAAAGACTGATGGTGTTAGCTTCGATGTGGCATTCGGATTGGCAATGGATAACATCGAAAATGGGGCGTCCTCGCCAGATAAGCAGCAGCAGCAGCAGCAAAAGAAGAAGAAGGCTTTCATGCAGAAATTTGGGAGCCTCCTGAAAAAGAAGAGCAACCATAAGTAGAAGCTTGTAATAGCTGAGATGGTTTGAGATGCTTGTAATAGTTTGATGATGGTCTGTGGGTTATATATATAGTGCTTGTATCGGAAATTGTTTGCTTCTGTGTCCAGTGAGCTAAAATTTGGGTCTTCTTTCAGACCCCTTGTTTCACTGATTTGGTTCTCATGAAAAAGTTGGATTACTTGTTCTGTCATATACCAGTTGAGCAATGGAAACCAGTTCATGTGTTATGTTGCATCTGATCATGTTAGAAGAATGCTTATCCCACAATGTATCCATGGGCTTATCTATAAGCTGTCCAAATCTTTTTGAATGTCTTATCTTTGGTCATGAACTAAAAAGTTGAAGAAACAAAAAAAAAAAAAAAAAAAAGAGAAGAAGAAAAATCAACAAATAAGAGGGCCCAACATACAATCCATTTTGAATTGGGCTCTGATGTTGACATATGAAAGAATCCAATCCAAGAGTTGCAAGTGTTGGATCTATGATTGGCCGAAGAGTGGAAGGTAGGTCGCAGTTGTTGCGACGTTCATGTGCTACCAGTCTGCAATGATGGTTGAGAGGAAACCTCCAAACTCTCAGTGATGGCAGAACCTTAAAATAGAGAGAGAGAGAAAAAAATATCAAAAAAATGTTTTGCAATTGCGATATAAGGACACCAATGTTTCCTTGTCCTTCCTCAATATATATATACACACAAAAAGATATTTCACAATAATAATTTTGATGTCTTATCGGTTTAGTATTTCATCAAAAATAGATGAAAAATCGAATGCTAGATGAAGTTTACTATAATATGAACTTAAGCATTCTGGACGAATAGCTTAAGATCTAACAAAGTTAATAAGTTAATTATTTTATCGAATTGAATCATATTAAAATCTGGTTTTTAAGTAATATGGAGCCATCCTTAACATGTTAAGGTCTTTTATGTGTTTCAGAGTACTACTGAAACCTTAAGTGGGAAAGATTATAATACCCTAATTTAGTCTAATATAGAAATGAGAGAAGTATAATAAACGTAGAACAAAGAAAACAAGACATTTGCTCACAACTGCTTGGATGAATTAATACTGGACAAAGCTACATACCTAATCCATTGTTTCAACAACTATGGTTCATCCTATGGAACTCTAACATTGGAAGCAAGCACAGAACCTGGACGCCACACAGAAAAGTATCGAAGAGACATCAACATGCAGAATATTCAGAGATGACAATTATGTCTTCCAAGAACAACTTTGATTAGCTGTTCAACCTTAACTCGATTAGCTCCTGTTATGTCAATCATCTCTTGATCTCAGTAGCCAAACATCAAGGAAAATTAGGCTGGAACTCTAATGACATCAACCAATGAACCAATAGGTTTCGCTTCTCCTTCTCTGTCTTTGGTGATGTAATGACATTTAGTTTTAGGTTGGAATCATATCTAATATTCTTTGAGGGTAGGTAATTTAGTTGTTTGATATTGCCCTGTGTTACCTACTAAATGTCATGTGCTCTCTTTCTCTCTCTCTCTCTCTCATGGGACAAGGCTTTCCTGACAGTATGTGATTGCTATGGAAAAGCACTCCTGCTGCTGTGTCTTCACCATAGCATACAAGGATGGAAAAGATGAATGAATTCATGTGAAGCTCCCAAGTCACCACTTCATTAACCTTTTAATCCTTAGTAATTCATAATATAAAAGGATATTTAAATTTAAATCATGTTAAATGCATTAAAACATACTTCATAACCTGCCCCGATTTAATCTCGCATCGGAAAGTATTTTAAGATTAAAATTGACTTATTAGAATCTTAACTCTGTGCTTTAATTTTGACAAAATCAAGAGGATAATTACCCATCAGACTTGGATCGTGACATTAGGAATGCGTAACTTGTTTTGGTTGCATATCGATAAATAATAATGATAACTAACATTAACTTCTTGTAGGAACAGTAGTAGTCAATGACTTATGGCGAAAGAAATCAGCCAGCCTTACCTAATTGATAACTAATATTGGACTTTTTTTGTTTCCATGGCTGCAGGAATAAGTGCCATATACACATAAAAAGAAAAGATAAAAGAATGAAATCATCAAGTTGAGGCTTCAATAATTTCATGGCTTTCCTTACGCAAAAGCTCTGGGGAATTGATGCCAGCACTGAGCTCAGTAATGTAGACCCTTCCATTTCCAGATCGATGCTGTCCTTCTCAGCAGACATCAACTTCATGCCACAAGCTACTTCCTACTCCAACTAACTTAATCATCAGTAGCTTCATCTACCCTTGTGGATCCTAAAAACTTCTGACAAACAAATGGACAATCTGGAAAAGCTGAACATCTAGAAAGAGATTTATGTATGGATAAATCACATATTACAAACAGTGGGAACAATGTGATGCCAACGTTTGGTACATAGTTTGTGTGTTTGATTGTACAGCAAAGAGAAAAAAAGGTAGACATACTGTTCTTCTGTGTATCCTACAAGTCGCCGATTATGATTCGCTTGCCCACGAAATTTTGCTGCATCAGATGAGCAGGATGTTAGCTAGTGTGATGCAACAAGTGATGGAGAACACAGATTCTTCGCTGGCATAGAATGGAAGGTGGATTGCTTACTCTAGAATATCTTTCCAGCAGATCATATCGTCGTTAGATCCACCTGCACTTAGTCCATACCAATCCTGGAACGGGATTGAAGCAGGCGAGCTGATCGGATCTTGCATGCAGTCCGTGGCTATCCTCTCTTGGGGAAATGGAACCGGTGACTGGGTGGAAAGAGCTGTTGTGGCGGCACAGGAGCTGGACTCTGGGTTGGTCATGCCATTGTGACCCTCCGTTTTGATTCCCGTCGTGACGGATGAGCCCTCGGGATGTGTCACCTTCTCCTGTTCCTCGAATGGACTGGCCAAACACGGGAAACCAGTGGCTCCTTGGGCAAGAGGGACATTGGCAAGTCCCTCGAGTTGCTGGTTCAGCTGGGTGTCATCAAACTGATAGCAGGTGCCAAGGGAGGCGGAGCTCGAGGGGTTCATGGCATCCATGTTTGGAGCAGCGGTACTCATGGCTTGGATGAGCGTTTGGAGCCTGACCAAGTGCACGGCATCTGCTTGAAGCCGGAGAGCATTGCTCAATGGGTCGCCCAGGTTTCCAAGGTTGGTGGCGGCAGCAAGGAGAGTAGGAAGGATCGTGAGCAGGTCGACGTTGGTTCTTCGTGTGTGGGTGACAGGGTCGATCCCCATGAGGAGGAGCTTCTTCTTGAGATGGGTGTTCCAGTAGTTCTTGATCTCGTTGTCCGTCCTTCCCGGTAGACTCTTGGAAATGGTGGACCACCTGCATGAATTAGCAGAAGCTCTTCACACCTCTGGTTTAGCTTTACAGGAGAAGAGGAAGATCTCTGGGCTAGCTTTACTTGTTTCCAAGGATGGAGTGGAGGTGGACGATCATCCGCTCCTCATCCTCCGAGAACTTCCCCCGCTTGATGTCAGGACGGAGATAGTTCGTCCACCGGAGTCGGCAGCTTTTGCCGCACCGGTTCAGCCCGGCCATCTTCGGCAGACTCCGCCAGCTCCCATGGCCATGCCGCTGGATGTACTCCACCAGCTGCTTGTCCTCTTCCGGCGTCCATGGCCCCTTCTTCACCCCAATCTCGTCGCAGCAGGGGGACCTCCCCATCTTTCCCTGCAACGCTGTCTTAAGCTCGTCTCAAAGAGGAGGGACAGTGAAGGCCGAGTAGGTGAGATTAGCTTGGTGATGTCTTGGCCTTATATAGGGTTCCAAGTCTGACCACCACCATTTCAATCGGTCAATGCAACCATATTATATGCTTTCAGGTTTGTGCTCACTTGATCCATGCACTTTCTACATAAACGTACGCTTCCCACGTCATATACATGCATGAAATCATTACCTGTATGATGGATACAGATACGAAAAATCTAACAGGTCCGGTCCCTTGGACAAGAAGGCAGCCTTTGGACTGTGGGGGAGAGGTTTCAGGGGAGTGCACGTAAGCAGGAAAAACAGATCAGTGATTAGGTCAAGTTTCCATCAAACAAATGGTGATAGTTCAACCATGTTTTTGCCAGCAGCAAGAAGCAACAAGGGGCAACGTTGACTGCTACTAATCCGACGGATTTCTCCTCATATGCAGCAGCATCTGATTTATGTATGACACAGTGTTCCTCTCAGCAGCCACATTTCAAAACGTGAGCTAAGCAAACTAATCTAAGATTTTAATTATGTTAGATTTCTTGTTTCTTCTTCTTCTTCTTCTCTCATCTACTAATTATTACCCCAATAACAACTGATGTACTACTCACTTTGTTTTGGTTGGTGGATTCCTTCCTTCTTCGACATCAACAATGCCGTCATCACAACTGTTGCTTCGTAACTCCCATCTCTCACTCCGACTCTGAACAAAACCCAAAGATGGAGAAGAAAAAGTGCAATCGATTTTGTTACCCATTGCCGAATGTACAAAGCTCGCCTCTCGGTACAAGAAAAGACTGTCCTTTTTGGGTGGAGTTCGTCATCGAGGATCCATGAAATCTATCATCGTATCATTGACTTGATCAATAAGCCACAAGAAAACTTGGAGACTCCCACCATGTTCTTGCTTGCTAAAGACATCGGCAAGTGAAGTTGGGTGGCCTTTGTCACCAACCTGGACACTTGTTCTACCAGAGTAAAAGGTTCAGTGGATAAGAACAATGCTTTCTTCCCCAGTGACATAACTATCTCAAAAGGTACCCTTTTGACTCTCGCCATTACTGGTCTAAGATCTTCGTCTTTGAAGAACCAGAAGTGAGCAGGTTAGCTAGATTGGCTAGGGCGGTGAAATCGTGCTGCCCTATGTGTCATTACTGGCGGCTAAGGTGGACTGTGTGACTCGCGGTTCCATCTCCATTCTTAAGCCAAGCATTTTGGGCAGGTAGGACTGGCAGAGCTAAACCTTTTACTTCTCTGCTTTCTTCATGCTTCATGGGAAATTGCGTCTGCAACATCTTCATCAGCCAACGATGGTAAAGCCAGTCGAGAATCACCAGCACATGAAGTTTCTTACAAGCTACATACTTGACCATTTTATGCCCGTTGGCTTCTCCAGCTCGACTTCCCGTTGGGAGGAGGAAAAGCTAATCTGGACTTTCACATATTGGAACGATTGATCTCGGTCCATCTCTTTCCATATGTTCTTTTTGATGGGAACCCTAATCCTAATCCAGCATGCTTTGCCCAGCTTTAGGCATTACTTACTCTTTCCACCTCTGCGAAATCTAGTGGTGGAGTGAAGAGGGAAAGCACTTCCTCTTCGGCTGTAGCATTTCATGGCTCCCGAAATGGATCCTTTTTTCCTGGTTAATGAATAGTCATATCGATTCATGTATTTGATTAGTTGAAAGAAGCACCGGGTTGTCATTCTCAAAGGAAAAGCTCTCTTGCAGAGACACCCTGTGGAACTTCTTCTGTTCCAGCAAGCAATTAAGCTTTTCAGCAACTCTTATCTAAACACACCACCCAAGGGAGGAGGCGGAGGAATTTGGGAGTAACGAAAGGAGAAAAGAACATGTCGTATCACATCAAATCTATCTCCTGACCAAATAGATACACGAGCAAATAAAGAAGCAGCAGCTAAAAATACATCGGACTCGGGATGAAAGAAACTGCATGCTTGTCTCTTTAATCATTTGGGGAAACCGTGGAAGCTAGTCCATCTGCATCGGCGCTCCGAAGTGACAGTGATTGCCATTTGACATCGATGACGACTGATTGAAGAACAATGAGCTCGATGAGTTTGTTCGTTTACTCAAACATGCAAAGAGGGTTCGTGGGCTCCAACTTGTAAGATTTTTTCCGGCATGCAGAGCTCTCATAAACTATTCTGTGGTGATCAAAGAGATCGACGCCTTTCTTGATCTCCACGCAAACACACTGTGAGAGCCTGCATAATTCTGAATGGGTGTCCTTATCTCATGAGGGTCATCTTCCTCCTTGCAGGCTTCATCATTCCGATGACTCTCTCGGCTGAATCAATACATCAGGGGAGAGAGATCATCTATGGCCTCAAACTCGCATATGACAGAGATGATATTCCTGATTGACTGAATGAATCTTCAGTCAAGATTTATAACGAGATTCACAGCTTTGATGCAAAGGTGTGTAGCTTCACAACGTCGAAAGCTGCAACTTGTTCCACCGGTAGCTTCCCCGTCATTCACTCACCACACAAACAAACACCACAGGAAGAGCTTCGGAGAAGTCGTCGATTTCTGTGACACCCTTTCGTCGTTCCAGGCTTAACACAAGCATTAGTCGCTCGAAGATACTACGCACAATCCAGTAAAGCTAACGTGAGTGTTCTAATAGTTGGATTTGTGTTGGATATTACACAGTCAAATGTTTCAGCTGAAGTGAAATATTAGGCGTCGCTTCTCTGGGCTTCTGGGAAAGAAGGCCCGATTGAATCTAATTACTCCATCACGTTAAAGTAAGCATGCTTTAATGGTCGTGCAGATGAACAGAGGATTAATAGCAACTGCCCATTTTATTTCTTTTGCGGATTCCTCGAGATATGCGCTATCTTTTTAGCTGGCTGGTTAAGACGAAATCCTCTGCTCCAAGCTTGGGGAAATCAAACCAGAAAAAGAAAGGGAAAAGAAGAGATAGAAAGCACTAATTACGATTAGTGCTTCCTTATCAGACATTTGTGGGAAAATCCGCTCTTAACCAGCTAATCAATTAAGATAAAGCTTCAGCTAATCCCCAAAGGAACCAGCCACGTGCGCAGCACGTGGCGGGGGGGGGAGAGCTAGGTGCTCTTAAGCTTTCGGTGGCGCAGCCGTCTCGCTGCCGCCGATGCCTTCATTCCCCGATGGCTCTCGTGAATCGCTGCTGACGTTACGCCTCCCCTCTCCGTCCCCGAAACCGCATCTGAAAGAAGAGGAAGACGGATCGCAGAAAGGAACGAGACATATATAGAGAAGGGAGGAGGAGAGCAGCATTATACCTCTGGTGTCGAAGCGGAGGGCGGGGCCGCTGAAGGTTTGAAGATCTGAAGTCGAAAAGGCAGGAAGACGCACAAGGTTAGGGCAAAGGCACGCGTGAGGAGGGGATCAAGAGGAAATGAACCTGCGGGGGTAACCGACCTGCGTGGGTGGGTTCGTGGGAGAAGAAGTAGAGGACGACGAGGCAGAGGATGGTGAAGACGGGGATGAGATGGATGGACCTGTCCGCCCTGGTGCTCGTCCGGATCAGCTTGTCCGCATCGAAAGCCGCCTCCGGCTTCTCGGGCGGCGCCGTAACCGCAGATCCAGCGGCGCCGATAATGCTCCTCCGTTTCTCCTCCTTCCCATCTCCTCCGGAAGCGCCAGGCGATCCCAGGGATTGGCGCTGCATTCTTCTCTTGTTGGAGAGGCGAGTGTGGCCAGAGGCTCTGCTGCTGCGGTGACTGCCCAACAAAGGTGAGCTGCTGTATTCTGAACCGCTACTGCGTAGTGTCTTAATTATAGTACTCTGTGCATGGAAATCATTGCACCTCTTTCCCCATGGAAAGGTTCCTAAAGCGAGGCCGGACTTAATGGTTGGGTCACTGATGGAAGGTCGATATTTTTGGGATTCCCTTTAGTTGGCATGTAGATTCGGATGCGGCCGGCGGTGTCAGCGTTTGAATGGGTTTTGACTTGGGAGGAGCAAATCGAAACGAGATCTACGCCGTCATGTGACCGTTGCTACGAGTGCGGGGATCCAAGCCGCGTTGGATGCGACGAGACTCCCTCGTGCGGGCCCTGCCAGTGGAAACGTACCTTGGTACTAGAAGGATCGAGTCACCTTGACGAGTTTCCAGGACGACGTGGCCCCTGTAACTACGTCACTTCCACCAAGTGCTGCTTCATCACCCAGTGGACTTGGGCCGAAGCGCTTTAATGTTAAGTGGGACCTCTTCTTCTGAGCGTTAATCAGCAACCGTACAACTCTGCCGGATGATTCGCTAGCTTCAAATATATCGGTCGATTCAAAGGTAGGGACAAGAAGTTCTTGTCAATGTTTCGCCATGGTGTTTGAAGAAATGCTTCTGTGGAAACAACAAACCCTGCCATGTTGTTTTTCCTGTAATCTTATGGGGCATGCGGTGATGTAGATTTTACTCGGTCAAGTCTCTCTCTCTCTCTCTGTTCTACAGAACAGTAGAGAAGAAGTTATGGAGGCATGTCTGTCCAGCTTTGGGGAAGATACCTCACTCTGAATTTGACGCCAAGCTTAAGCATAAACCCAGACCAGAGCAAGCGTCTTAGAACATCTATATACTAAACATTTCAGCTCAACAGCTTCGTCGAAGAAGGCAGGGATAGCTCGGCCATGTGCCCTTTGCTTCTTCTTCACACCACGCGGCTTGCTTGCGCCTGTTCACCGGTGCCCAAAACATCAGCTGGAGAAGTCGTTTGTTAATGGACGGACTTCAAAAGTCGATTCTGGTCGGAGAAGAAAGGTGATGTTATATATAGAGTAGTGAGAAATCCATCCTGTGATGTTATATTATATATATACTTGTGATGTTGTATACCATCAGAGTCTCGAAAGAAGAAGCCATCCTGCCATTGTGATCTTTGATGTTCCCTTTTCTCTGTTTCGTGGCGTAATGTGCCAATAGATGCAGTGCTGACAAAGTGAGCGAGCACCTCGTTGCCACTCCAAATAGAGAAATACCACATCTGTTCAGAAGTCAAGCAAGCATATGCCTCCTCCTCCTTCACTTCAATGACCAGAACATGAGATCGCCGAACTGTGCATGTTCTATTATTATTTAGTTGTTGCATGTTGTGGGAGAGACGGTGAGCAAGCCACCGGAGTCCCTCAGCACAGAATCCTGTTCTAAACTTCGGCCATGTGTTTATCCAATGCTAAGCATGTCTGCTTATAATATAATGTTCGAGTAGTCTTCTCCAATCCTATACCTCTTCTTTCTTCTGGTTTTGAAGGTGGTGGCAATCTCGCGCCCCAGTGGTGGCGCCGCACGAAGCGACGAGGGGACCCACGCCGGCTTTCCCCCTCCAGACCGATGCTTGCTTCGTCGTGATCGCAACGACGAAGGAAGCGGAGACGACGGCTCAGCTCGCTCGTCCGGCCCCCCTTCCCAAATAAATTAGCCTTTCCCTTCGGTGGTCGTAGTTGCAGGCACGATCGTTTGCGTTTGGACAATCCAATTTTGACCTGCTCTAAGGATGTTGACCCCGGCTCTGCTTATATTTACGATGATGCCCTCCGTCGTCTCTCCCGCGTTGGATTCGGATTCAATTAAATTAGATTAAATCGGATCAGTATAATCTCTCTCTAATCCGCTAACTCCGCGATGTAATGTGTATACATCTGATGAGCTGGCATTTCGTCTTCGCCATCACAGGGTCATCATCGTAATTTAGGCCTGGAATTGCCACGCGTCGAGTCTTGTTTGGTGCGGAGGAATTGGGCCGGAAACCCACCTCGGGACAAAGTACATGTGGTCCGTTGGATGCGCATCAACAGCTTTGAAGTTCGTTCGATCAACGATCCAACGGTATTGTCCATCTCTGGTGAGGCATATTCTTGTTCTCCTCGTCTATAAATGTCCTCTGCTGCCCTCCCTTCCCCCTCTCGGTCCCCATTGCTCATCCGTCGAATTCCCACCGCGGCTTCCTTCCTGTTTTCTTCTCCGCGGGAAGATTTCTTTCGTGGAGGACGAGTACGGTTCAGCTTACTCTGGATGAAAGTTTGCATCTTGGGCGCAGACGAGGTGTTTGTGCGGACGACAAGAAGAAACCTCACCTAAAACGCGGTTTCTTCTCAGCCGCTCTCGAGCTGAAGGGAATTTGGTGTCTTCTAGTGTGTTTTCTGGACTTGGTCTCCCGGAGTTGTAATCCATTCGATCGAGCTCGTCGTTTGAAGTGTTCAAAGAATAGAGACGGCGACGGCAGGAGAACGCGAATAGTTTGTCTAATTAATTACCTTCTCAGCTCTGCTTTATTAGAAAAGCGCTCGTCAACTCCATAGTTTCTTTGTTCATGGGCTCAGCGGCGAAGCTTCACCTCGGTCCGATGCTTTGATTCGAAGAGGACAGGAGCTTGGCGTCGTAGCTCCGACGCTCGAAGGTTAGTTCGCGGATTCAAGCCCTTACTTGGACTCGTGTTTCAAATATCCCTTAAATCTTTGCCAAGATTGGATATTTCCTCACCCTGCAATTTTTGCTCTTATCATCGATGATTGAATTCCTTGGTCTTCACGGACTTCCCGTTCAATTCGGAAGCGTTCTGCAGGTTCCAATTAAAGCAGTATAAGAAGCAAGCGGAGTCATGGCTTCCAATGGTATTCTCCGATCCAACCGCTCCACCCGCGGCCCCGGTGAACCACCGCAGGGCAGAACCGAGCTGCCCCCGATCCCTCGCGGCCCGACAGTCCAATTCGGCCGCAGGACGGAGTCCGGCCGATTCATCAGCTTCTCTCGCGACGACCTCGACAGCGAGCTGGCCGGCAGCGAGTTGGGCAGCGGCCGCTTCGATAACTACCATGTCCACATCCCCATGACTCCCGACAACCAGCCCATGGACCCTTCCATCTCGACCAAGGCGGAGGAGCAGTACGTCAACAGCTCCATCTTCACCGGCGGCTTCAACAGCGTCACCCGCGCCCACGTCATGGACAAGGTTATCGACTCCGAGAGCGGCCAGGGTGGGGGCGGCGGAAACGGCCTCACCTGCGCCATTGAGGGGTGCGACTGCATGGTCATGCGGGACAAGCACGGGAACGTGATGGTTCCCTGCGAGTGCGACTTCATGATCTGCGTCGACTGCTTCACCGACGCCGTCAAGACCGGCGGCGGGGTCTGCCCGGGGTGCAAGGAGCCGTACAAGACGACCGACCTGAGCGAGCTGCTGGGGACAGCCGGTGGGCGGGCCCTAACGCTGCCGCATCTCCCGTCTGGGGCGCCAAAGATGGAGCGAGGGCTGTCTGTGGTGAAGCCGCAGAAGCTGCCGCACTCGCAGACCATGACGCAGACGGGGGAGTTCGATCACACCCGGTGGCTATTCGAGACGAAGGGTACGTACGGATATGGAAACGCCATATGGTCCGAGGAGAATTACGATGACGTTGACGGCGGCGACGGCGGAGGAGGAGGGCATGGACAGCCAAAGGAGTTCATCAGTAAGCCATGGAGGCCTCTTACACGCAAATTGAAGATCCCTGCTGCCGTCCTCAGCCCTTACAGGTAACACTCTGCTGCTCTATTCGTTCTTGTCGGATGTGGCAGACTGTCCTGCCAGGCAAATCATGCTAATCTAGCCGAAGTCTCCATGCTAGATTGCATATATGCATAGTTGGAAAGCATGAATTCAGAGTTGTCGCTATTGCTGTTTTCATTGACATTATCTGCTTGATCCAATCTTTCAGGCTCCTCATCGTCATTCGTATGGCTGTTCTCGCTCTGTTTCTCACATGGAGAATCAAACACAAGAACGAGGACGCCATATGGTTGTGGGGGATGTCGGTCGTCTGCGAGTTATGGTTCGCCTTCTCTTGGCTTCTGGACCAGCTTCCAAAGCTCTGCCCTGTGAATCGAGCCACTGACCTCGCCGTCCTCAAGGAGAAGTTCGAAATGGCGACGCCTTACAATCCAACGGGGAAATCTGATCTCCCAGGCATCGACGTCTTCGTTTCCACGGCCGACCCAGAGAAAGAACCCGTACTGGTCACCGCAAATACGATTCTGTCTATTCTTGCAGCCGATTACCCGGTCGAGAAGCTTGCTTGCTATGTTTCGGATGATGGAGGTGCGCTTCTGACATTTGAAGCCATGGCGGAGGCTGCCAGCTTCGCTTACATATGGGTTCCTTTCTGCCGTAAACATGGCATCGAGCCTCGCAATCCTGAGAGCTACTTCAGCTCCAAGAAGGATCCTTACAAGAATAAAGTCCGCTCTGATTTCGTCAAGGACCGGAGACGGGCGAAGAGAGAATACGATGAGTTCAAGGTCCGGATCAATGGCTTGCCGGATTCAATTCGTCGGCGCTCGGATGCGTTTCACGCTCGTGAAGAGATTAAAGCCATGAATCTGCAGCGGGAGAAGGCCGGTGATGATCCTGTGGAACCTGTGAAGATCCCTAAGGCTACTTGGATGGCTGATGGCACGCACTGGCCAGGAACTTGGATTAACCCCTCAGCGGAGCACTCTCGAGGCGATCATGCTGGAATCATACAGGTACTTAGTGTTCCACCTTATCTCAGTTCTTTGATGCTTTGTTCCATGGAATTGTAGCGAGATCATATAGACTGATCACAGACGACGCTTCCAATCACAACAATTCATTCATGTGGCTTTGTTGCAGGTGATGTTGAAGCCTCCAAGCGACGAACCCCTGTACGGGAACAACGACGAGAAATCACCGTTGGACTTCACCGACGTCGACATCCGCTTGCCCATGTTGGTCTATGTGTCCCGCGAGAAGCGCCCTGGTTACGACCACAACAAGAAGGCAGGCGCCATGAACGCCCTCGTCCGCGCCTCTGCCATCATGTCGAACGGCCCCTTCATCCTCAACCTCGACTGCGACCACTACATCTACAACTCGCAGGCACTCCGCGAGGGCATGTGCTTCATGATGGACCGCGGCGGCGATCGAATCTGCTACGTCCAGTTCCCGCAGCGGTTCGAGGGCATCGATCCCTCCGATCGATATGCCAACAACAACACCGTGTTCTTTGATGTCAACATGCGCGCACTCGACGGTCTCCAGGGCCCGGTGTACGTCGGCACCGGCTGTCTCTTCCGCCGCATCGCGCTCTACGGTTTCGATCCTCCTCGCGCCAAGGAGCACAGCGCCGGTTGCTGCAGCTGCTGCCTACCACGCAAGCGAAAGCCCCGGGCTGCGGCGAACTCCGAAGAGACGCGAGCTCTTCGCATGGGCGACTACGACGACGACGAAATGAACATGTCGACGTTTCCAAAGAAGTTTGGGAATTCGAGTTTCCTCATCGACTCGATCCCAATTGCAGAGTTCCAAGGCCGGCCTCTTGCTGATCACCCTTCCGTGAAGAATGGCCGCCCGCCCGGTGCTCTCACCGTCCCTCGCGACCTGCTCGACGCCTCCACGGTCGCTGAAGCGATCAGTGTCATCTCATGTTGGTACGAGGAGAAGACCGAGTGGGGGCAGCGCGTCGGGTGGATCTACGGCTCCGTGACAGAGGACGTGGTCACCGGGTACAGGATGCACAACAGAGGCTGGAAGTCGGTCTACTGCGTCACCAAGCGCGACGCCTTCCGCGGCACGGCGCCCATCAACCTTACCGACCGGCTCCACCAGGTGCTCCGCTGGGCCACCGGCTCCGTGGAGATCTTCTTCTCTCGCAACAATGCCTTGTTAGCCAGCCCGAGGATGAAGTTTCTGCAGAGGGTTGCGTACCTCAACGTCGGCATCTATCCCTTCACCTCCGTCTTCCTCATAGTGTACTGCTTCCTGCCGGCGCTCTCGCTCTTCTCGGGACAGTTCATCGTGCAGACCCTGAGCGTGACCTTCCTCACCTACCTGCTCATCATCACCTTGACGCTCTGCCTCTTGGCGATCCTGGAGATCAGGTGGTCGGGGATCGAGCTGGAGGAGTGGTGGCGGAATGAGCAGTTCTGGCTCATCGGAGGCACCAGCGCTCACCTCGCGGCAGTGATGCAGGGGCTGCTCAAGGTCATTGCTGGGATAGAGATCTCGTTCACGCTCACCTCGAAGTCAGCCGGAGACGACGACGACGACGAGTTTGCGGATCTCTACGTCGTGAAATGGACGTCGCTGATGATACCCCCCATCACCATCATCATGCTGAATCTGATTGCCATTGCGGTGGGGGTGAGCAGGACCATATACAGTGTGATCCCGCAGTGGAGCAAGCTGCTGGGTGGGGTGTTCTTCAGCTTCTGGGTGTTGGCTCATCTGTACCCGTTTGCCAAGGGGCTGATGGGGAGAAGGGGGAGGACGCCGACCATCATCTACGTCTGGTCTGGGCTGGTCGCCATCACCATATCGTTGCTGGTGGTGGCGATCAACCCTCCGGCGGGGGCCAACTCTCAGATTGGCGGTTCCTTCTCGTTCCCTTGACCCCCGGCAAAGCACGGCCAAGTGTTTGGATGATGACTCAATCATATGCCTATTCTCCATCACATCCTCTACACTCGAAAGGGAGGAATTTTGAGTTCGATAGAGGAGTCACTACCATAAATCCTACTATCATTCTTTTGTGGAGTTTCTTGTGTTTTTTCCATGCTAGAAAAAATTTAAAGGTAAAACATGTTTTTGATTTATTGTATTAGTAACCTTTTCAGATTAATATTCAAACACATTCTTCTCCCACATTTTAGAATATTGATTCTACAAATTACGTCGGGAGTATTTTATATAACATCCAAAAGGAAAAATTCAATCATTATCTACATAAGGTGCGAGAGTCTTTCCCAAGATCATGAGGCCCTATTGAGCATTAAGTGCAAACTAGTTTCACATCTAAGAAAAATTATATAAGGGACCCTCCATATAAAAGATTTTACCCTTATCTTTTGATTATGTTTAAAGAAGAGGTCGAGCACCTTGATCCTGATCATAACAATATTCTAGTGGTTTAAGGATATTCTAATGATTTTTCTCATGATCGTCAATGCAATGATAAAATGAATTCTAATAGACATGAGAAGTTCCACTAACGTATTATATACTATGATGCTTTCTTGAAAGTCAGGTTGAGCGCTAAGGATGCTCGACCAATCTCCTCTAGACTCACTAGTTTTATAAAAAAAAATTCTATAACTCATAAGAACGATGGATTTTGATGAGGGTAATAATGGCGACAAGACTCGGATGACGTAAGCTGCCCCAGAAAACGCCTCAGCTGACCTGACACCACCCGGTCAAATGGACCAGAACGCCGGCCAAGGCGCATTAACGCCCTGCTCAGGCCCAATCCTTCACGCCATGCCAACACCAGTGTCAAACGCTACCGGCCTGCGCCCTGCAAGCAGATACATCAGGAAACAGTAAGCTTCCCTATAAATACCATTGCATTCTGAACAGAATGGAAGAGGATGGACAAGCAAACCCTCTTCACATCATCTGACTTGATCGTCGGAGGGGTCGGGCCGAGCACTCCGACCCGACCTTTATGCAGGTGCGAAGCCGAAGGTTCCCACCGGACGCGCGGGCGAGGAGTTCTTCCCCGGAGAAAACGGCGACCCCGTCCCGATCGGACCACCATGATCGACCGCCTCGATAGTCTCGAAGAACGTCCCAGGGAGATCCCCCGTCATCCGGACCCAAACCAAGCCGCGTCGGCCCCGAGGCCACGGCTCAAAGTTGTTTACCGCAACAGATTTGTACGTTACTTTTGGATCCGATGATTGCTCCAAAATCGTAAAGACAAAGTTCCTAGTGGTCAATGTTCTGTCTGCCTATAATGCAATCATTCTATGTGCAATTGTCTAAACCTATCATATGACCTTAAAGTTTTTCACAAGCTCTACGGTTATAGTAAAGAGCAACCCATGGGAGTCTTGTTGGTGTTACCTTACCTATGTAATAGTTCCAAAGAAGATGACCCTCTCAATTTAGCGGTTGGATTTGAGGGAGCCTACTCCTTAGACCGCTCATCCCGAGACGAGGGAGGCCTTACTAGAAGTCACCCTGGCCTTGAAAGACCAGATAAAATTGTGAAGATTGGTTTGATACTCCAAGAGGAAAAGAATATTGAACTCATCAACTTTCCACGTTATAAATGCAGAGGTCTTCGCTTGAACTCCTAATGATATGTCGAAAATTGATTGGACAATAACCCAACACTACCTCAACATTGAACTCCTAGTGATAATCGAAAATTGATTGGTCTTCGCTTGAGCACCCATCCATTTGGCAAAAGCTTCAGAGATTTGCATTGGATTGGCATGCAATGATAGTAGAAGAAGTCAATAAAGAGCAAAACCAATTTGCTCTAAAGATTGATGACTTTACGACTCAACTCTCGAGTGGGGGAGCTAGTGATAAGGAGAAATTAATGTGGCAAACACAAGCCCAAATATAGCTAGTAAGTCGATCATCGTAACGACTTGTCAATCATGTCATACTGACAAGTAGCAATCAGATCCGAGGACATGTGGACTCAACTAGTTGCAAGTGATCAAACGCCTAATTGTTCGACCATGTGAAAGGTATAGTAAAAAATATCGATCGTAGGGGCGACAAATGTTAAGCCATGCCCTTGCTCAAAACGTTGCATGTCCCCTCTTAACGCGCGACGATCTTGGATGGACTATTTATAAAAAAGACTCCAAAATATATATTTTAGGATTCACCTGATTAATCTCACTGATTAGTTCAACCAATCCAACTAGCCTTAAGCTTTTTAACTTCGGAAACCGACTTGATCGTAAGAGAGTTCATTATTGAGAATGCCTCTGATTTAATCTTGCAGTATCGGTACATCGAGAAATCATAAGTACAATCTCAAATGATCTTGAATCTAACTCATCTCCGCTAGAACAATCAAAATCTAATTTCTAATGTTAAAATTGGGATAAGACTATAGTTAGCTTATAAAATCTAAAAGGAAAAATTTCCTTTGACTATATCTGGGTATTAGATTAATTATTCATGCAATTGATTCCAGAAACAATTTACTTTTGACCAAAATAAAGAACCATTTTGTATTAAAATAGTATTAACTTGATCCTCCAACATACTTGAGGGAGAGAAAGTTCAAATAAAATAGCAAATATTGAAGAAAAACAATTTAGGATACATGAAAGAGTTGCACTACCAGCAAAAGCAGGAACAAAGATGGATTTAAGACAAATGAAACTTAAATCACACAAAGAGCTTCCTTGCTTTTAAAATAAATCATAGTAGTATTGATAAGAATAAGGTCATGCAGACATATGTTTATCAATGAGACTGACTTATAGGTGTGGAAACCTCATAAATAAACACATTTAGGTATGAAAAGACACGCTTAGGTTGACGCTGTTTGAGAAGCAGCTACAAGCTTGGCTCTTAATTCCTTCCTCAGTATTTTTCCTGCTGCAGATTTTGGAATGGCATGGATGAAGTAGACCTTGTGGACTCTCTTGTAAAACACCACCTGCACATTCATGTTCACCAACAACAACCAGTAAGATTTTAACGTTTGAAATGAGTAAAGCTCAAACAATTCTTTCTAAATAATAAGTTGGTAAGTCTCAATTATCTAAGGTTAATTATATCGATCTTTTACTATCATTGAGATCAATAAAAAGTTACATGTTTAGTTAAGTTCAAAAAATTTAAAATTTTATTTATAGTTTCAATTAATTTTTTTTTATATCACTAACAATAATCATTTCATCTTTTTTAACTATTAGTCTCATGAACGATTTTTTCTCATTTTATCTTTTATCGAAGTGATACATAATTCTTTACGGATATAATATTTTTTTTACAATTTAGATATCTATCTCGACATCCTCCTCTCACCTCAAATAATTCATTTTATCTCATGACAAAAAGAAAAAGAATAGCACTAGCATTTGGTTCATCTTTCATGAGAGAACTTGCCATGATGGATCTTCGACCCATCATTTCCTTCTTGGATATGTTTGAAGTGTCAAAATCATAGTAAGTAAAATAAAGACGGCATTAGGATCGATCGACGATACATTATCAAATCTTTATCAGCTAGATTAGTTGATACCTGGGAAAGTAAAATCTTTTTTACACAAAATAAATTTTGTAATGATGTATGATACGCACCTGTTTAGCTATGAATTCTTTGATGGCTTCTTCACTGACATCTGAGTCTTTAGCTCGAACAACAAATGCAACTGGAACTTCACCAGCCGCATCATCCTTTTGCCTGTCATGAGGACAAACATAAATTTGCATGTCAATGGTACATAAAAGAATAGAAATTGAGAATATGAAGGAAACATATCATGAGGAAAAGCTCGGTGAACTTACGGGACAACAGCAGCGTCAACAATGGAGGGGTGGCTTATTAGCAGAGACTCGAGCTCAGCTGGAGGCACCTGCACATATACCCCTAAACCCATCAGTAATCGATAAGGATATGGGGGAATGCGTGAGAGGTTTCGTATGTTTACCTGGAAGCCCTTGAATTTGATGAGCTCCTTCACTCTGTCCACTATGAAGACCTCATCGTCGTCATCGACGTACCCGATGTCCCCGGTGTGCAGCCAACCCTCGACGTCTATCGTCTTCGATGTGGCATCCACGTCGTTGAGGTAGCCTGTCGAGCGTCGTCACGAGGTCAGAAGGTATGTGCTTATGATGTTTGCAGTCAAAGGTATATATTACCTTTCATGATCTGCGGCCCACGGATGCATATCTCGCCGGACTGGTTCCTGCCGAGGGAGAAGCCGGTCTCCGGATCCACCACCTTCAGCTCGGCGTTCCTGACCACGGTGCCGCAGGATCCGGACTTGACTGCGGTTGGCTGCTTGGCAAATGCGGGGCACATCGACAGCACCGGCCCTGCTTCCGTCATTCCGTAGCCCTGCATTGCATAGCGACATTTCGTCAAACAGTAACAAGACGCTCGCCCAAGTGCTGGGAACACGGTAAGCACAATTTCCATCGTTCAGGGCTACATCGAGTCCGCGAATCTCTCGAGTCTAATTGGGTGGATGGTTTGGTCCATCCTTAAGCAGATTCCCCAATTGCCCAATGATTAATCCTGGCATATTCCTGCCCATCATGTAATAATCATGTACATTTGGGGGGCTTTCTGACACGAACGTTATAGGAACTTTCCATGAAAAGACGATTCAAGGCAGGAGTAAGCTATGCAAACGAAGGATTCCTTGTCGTCCCCCCCAAACCAAAGGGGACATGAACGATGCTTGACCGGCGACGACTTCCAAGCTTGTGTTTGAGACGGGACAACTTTTACCACCAAACAAGAACAAGGCTTGAACGGGGGAATTGTTCGGGCCATATGCTTTATATGATTGTGAACAGAGAGAAGCTGAAAGAGCGAAAGAAGGAAGACCTACCTGGCCAAGGATCGCTTGAGGGACTCTGCTCCTCAGAGCCTCCTCCAGCTCTTTCCCCAGCGGCGCAGCTCCGGAGAGTATGATCCTTACGGAGGTCAAGTCGTACTTCTCGACCACCGGAT